AGTGAAGAAGAAAAATCATGATCAAGTTTCTGCATTTTTTCGAAAAACAATAAAAGATGGTGGAAAGATATAGAAAGAAAGTCAGCCATTTTCAAAATTTTACATTATGAAAATAGATCATTATATTTTGCTCAAAAGGGTACCATAGATAAATACCCCAAACCACAACATATTCACATTAAAAAAAAATCAAAAAATTAAAAATCCATGTATGTACAAACTGTTTTATTCATGTAAATTGTAAATATGATATATAATAAATTCTACAAATTTTTGTTAATATTTTCTAATAAGTATATATATCTATGATGATAATATTTGTTGTGCACAAAATCTTAAACTAATATATCCTGCTGATGTTCTATTTTTTTTTGCATCTTTTCTACTTTTTTTATATTTCCACTCAACTGTTAATTTAGGTAAATTAAATCTTTTTAACCTATTTTTTGAAATCTGATTACCATCTTGATTAAAGAGACTTTCTTGATTAGCATCTGATTCAACTCATGCATCAAATAATACAACAAAAGTTTGTTGATAAGTTGATTATTATCAAAAAATTTACGCTCCCAATTTGGATTATCAAATAAATTAGCTATTTGTGTATATGCGTCAGGACCTTGGAAATAACATTTATAACTACCATTCCAAATGCTATAATAATGAATATAACCTTCAAAGACTCCAAAAAATAAGCTTTTCAGACAAGGTAAAGAAATAGTTTGTTTACCCGACTGCGAAAAATGTCCTTTTAGTTTACCTTGAATAATATGAACAAGCTGTATCTTGAACTCTTTTATTGCTTCTAGAGGTAATTTGTATAATCCTTCGCACCTCGTATTGTATTTTTGTACAATAGTGTTATGACACGTTAATCCAGACGTACTTTTGAATGAAGTCTTACAAATTTTACATTCGTGTTGTAAAGTGGAAGCAGTGGTTGGTGAAGGAGGTGGAGTGAGAATAGAATTTGTTTGGTAGAAACTTTAAGAAAAGAAATTAATAAAAGTATACATGTTTTTGCAAAAATAATAAAAATTTATATAAAAAAACTGTAATAAAACTTTTAACAATTTCAATATTCTTACTTGTCAAAAACACTTGGTCAAAGGTTGAAACAATTGGTTTGACGTTGGAATGATTAGTTAGACATTAGAACACATTAGAATGATTGGTTAAATCAAAAAATTTTTTTTTTTTTTTTTTTCGTATATTCTAGGTAGCTATGCATCAGCTGCGCAAATCACAGATGTAGAAATCATTTGATTAGTGATCTTAAAAAAGGCCCAATTATTACAATACGCTCATATGCAATAATGACATATGTAAAAATATGATTAAAATGAAATTTTAATATTATATAAATAAAGTTTTTTTCAAAAGTTACTTATAAAATCATATTTTAAATTTGCGAAGTGATGTCAATATGTGATATGTAATTTCATTATATTTTATTCTAGAATAATCTGAATTATTCTAGAACAATTTATCCAGATCATCATTTTCTAATATCATAGAATATCTGGATTTTAATATTCCCTAACAGGTTATTCTAAATTATTCATAGAATAATCCAGTGAAAAACTCTAGATAAACGCGTTTACATCATGCTAAAATTGGACAAATCAGACATGATTACGTGAAATAGGCAAAACACGTGAAGAAAATATTATACATGTTACATGTATATGATTTTTAGTAATAATCAGCATAAAATTCCACAGTTTTTATGTTTTACAAAGATATTCTCACGCCCGTTCATTTTTAACTTTCTTTAAAGTTTTTTAATAGCAATATTTACCCCTTCACTTTTTTTTACATAATTGATCTTTTTTCTTGCATTTACCATCCCTTTTTTATATTATTTCCCTCTCTTTGCACTATTTTACTATTGCAGTATTTTACTTTAAATATTTTCTTCTTTTTTTGCTTTGCTAGAAACATAAATTCTAATATTAAAGTGACTTTGCAAGACTTTATACAGAAAAAGTATTTGCAAGCTGGATGTTATGTGACCAATTTATTAGTAATTGGGTAAAAGTAAAGATTTTAGTGTGATAAAAGATAAAGTTATCAAGGAGGGGGACAATATTAGATAAAGGTTATATATATGTGAATATGAAAGAAGCTATACATCAAAATCTACAAAAGAAACTAGCACCAAAAAGATATCATGTTCATGATGTATTAATGCTTCTTGTTCCAAGGTGAATAATCCAGATTCTACAATATTTATTAATAAAATTGTAGATGAGCATAATCATGATCTGAATATCGAAGCCATAGCATTTAGAAAAGAGAAAAAGCTTAGCAATAAAATGATAGAAGATATCCAATTTTTGACATAATATTGCAAGATAGGGACTACAGCTAGTGTTCCGCAGACGATTCAGCCAAATCGAATTTAATTCGGATTCAGATTTGATTCAATTCAATTCGGAATTTTCGAATTTCGAATCAAATCCGAATCTCAGATTTGGATTCAGTATCGAATCCGAATCGAATCTGAATCGATTCGACCGATTGTTTAATTTTGCCCAAATTTTATAAAGCTGGTCAAAATTGCCTTATTTGGACCTTATGTAATGTTACATATTCCAAAAAAGCAATTTTGTTTCTCTCGAAAATTGGAATTTTGGGTTACACAAGATTCCCAAAAAGGCAATTTTCTTGCAGATCATTTAATTCCGGCTGGAATTATGAATCANGTGACATTGGCATCGAATTCGAACCGAATTCGAATCGAATCCGAATTGATTTAATTTGATTCGTTCGAATATTAAATCAAATTTGAACGATTCGTGATTCGATCGAATCGAATTTGATTTGATTCGATTTGATTCGTGCAGAACACTAGCTACAGTGCAGAGGAAGTACTTAGAGAAAAAGTACTCTGCCCATATTTTTTACAGTAAAGACATATATGCAGCAATAAAAAGATTTAGACCTACGGCAAAATCTCTTCTAAATGATGCTGCAAAAATGTCTGACTAGTTCGATAAACAAAAAGAAAGCAATCCTAAATGGATCATATCAAAAGGATGGGATGATTAATACCTTAACTCACTTAATGTGGATGATACTAGAGCAGGTAAAATATTGGATTCGATTCAATGATTGCGTTATCAATGGCATTATGCATAAAACGAATCAATATGGAATAGCATTATCTCTTTTTATAAGATTTGATTATAACATGCAAAATATACTTTTTGTATAGGATCTACTTATAGATGAAAGCAAAGAGTCTCATTCTTGATTATTTAGATAGATTATTAAGGCTATTAGCAATCATCCAACTGTAATTATAATAGATTCAGATCTAGCTGTTGATGTAGCAGTTTAGGAAGTATTTACAAATACATTTCTGATTTATTACACTTTTCACATAATACAAAATCTTCACAAAAATCTTTGGAAGCCTCTTAGAGATCAATATCAGAATTTTTTTTGGGACTTTTATTTGTACAGAAATAGTCTTGTCCAGGTAACATTTTATAATCACTTTGTAAAATTAATTGAAGACTACCCACAAAGCTAATCTTACCTAGAAAGACTATATTCTTCTAAAAAGTATTGGACGCATTCATACATAAGCTTCAAATTCACTGGTGAGATGATTGCATCTTCACATGTTAAATTAGTAAATGCATGCATCAAGAGGATGCTATTCAATTCTAATATTTTATTATGCAAACTAATAACAGAAATTCACAAGTTACTTAATGAATATGACAAGAACAACAGATATTAACAATGGAGACTTGCAATTCTATCTGTTAAAAACCTAGAAAAATCCAACTTCCTGATTACTGAAGTGGATAAATGCTATAAAAAGTTTCTAATGCTAGCGATTTTGAAGTTACAATGGGACGAAATTAATCAATCACTCTATTATACTGCAAGGTTGGTTAACCAACAGGATATTACTACAATTAATAATGATTTTTGTAAAGAAGAATATGCCAAAAGTTCACAAACTATCATAGACCAGTTAATAGAAGTTAGTGGATGTGATAATATTAAGGAAATATGGAGTATTAAGGTTAAAAATTCATCAAAAATAAAGCATTATATAGTTTTTTTGAAAAATAATGTGCACATATGCTCTTGTCTTATAGTCGTTTGAAAAGAAATAATTTGCAAACATTACTTTCAGGTAATATGCACATATGCTCTTGTTTTATGGCTGGCCATTCAAAAGGAATAATCTTAACATTACTTTCAGGTTATGCTAAATACTTGCGAGGCCAAATTTCATATTTGGCTCATTCCATCCAGATGGTATCAAGAGGATAAGAATGCATCACACGAATAATTTATTATTGTCGATAAGTTTCATGATAGCATATTTATAAATGTGATACAAGAAATTAGTATGGAATATTTATATGCCATCGATAAAGAAAAGGAAGATTCTCTCAACCGGCACATGAATCTCCTTAATAAAAAGTTAATATATGGTACCCTTCATGATACATATAAAAGAACTTTGCAAAAAGCTTTACAGTCAAAGTCAAAATCATTACGCCTAATTGGGATTCTGGAAAATTTCACAAATGATAATAATGAACCTGAATCCAAAAGTGAAGAATTAGACGAGATTCATAAGAGTGATAAAGAAAATGCAGATATGTTTCAGCTGTAAAATCCAAATTAAAACATGATAAAGGAAGACTGGCAGGTACAAGAAGGTATAAAGCATTAAATAAAAAGAATCAGGATGAAAAAATAAAGCAACAAAAATATTGCAAGAAATGTAGTAATTTAGGACATTATCAAAAAAATTGCAATGCTCAGTCCTTTAATAAATAAAGTTTGCCTTCTTTATTGCTAATCATTCATAAATGCGCATTTGCATGTGCAAATTTTATTGTTAAATCATTTGTAAATGCGTATTGGTGCGTGCAAATTATTTAGTCATGTAAGGTTTTTTTGTAATAAGTGGTTTTTATAATTTAGCCATTAAACGAAACTTCAAAATAATGCAAAAAATAAAAGGCCCAGTGCAAGATTCGAACCTGCATTTCTGTAATAAAAAGTATATTATCCAACATTCTACCAATTGAACTAATCAAGCAATTTTTATAATTATTATTAAATAAAGGTTTTATTTGTATATTTTCAGGTTATGTATTGGTCACGTAAAGGAGAGTCGATACATCGATCGGTCGATAAATTACAAAATCCTTAATTTAATATTAATTTTTTATATTTTGTAATTTGAATTTTTAATTTTAGATCTACATCTTAAATTGCAATATATGAATGATCATAATTGAAAAAAAATGGATTAATAGAGCAAAAAATAATATAATAAACTTAATATTTTTTAGTTTTTTTTAATGGGTAAATCTGGATCTAACATGGGGGTAAGACATTTATACATCACTGAAAATTTTCTAATTTGGTAATTCCAGCTGAAATTAAGAAATTTCCTTTTTTGAGAATCTCATATAACCTAAATTTTGATTTTGAAGAGAAACAAAATTGCCTTTTTGATTTGTGTAATATTACCTAATATCCAAAAATAGAAATTCTGGTCAGAATTAAAGTTTTTGGCCAAAATTAAGGGATATGATGATTAATATGTGACAATTAGGATTTTACATTTTGAAAAAAATTCTGTTCCTATAATAAATAGTAAAAATGAAAGTCAAAGAGTGTGACATGTAGAGGTATACTCCGAAATCTGGTCAATCTGAATATTCGGTCATCCATCTGAAAATTGATCAGATTTGGATTGATCTGTTTGTACTACTGGATTGACCAGATAGTTTAACTAGAGGTATGCTCCAGTGAAATCCGTTCAATCCGTTATTTATTTTTGAATAAATTGGATAATCTGGATTAAGGAATGAACAGATTTTGGATAATTCAGATGAATCTGTTAGATAATACCAGATTGATCAGATATTATACGGATACCCAGATTGACCGGATTGATCAAATAATCTGATCAAATCTGGTATTTTTTTATTTTTTTTTATTTTTTTTTGTAGGGACGAAAATTCCTGGAGGTGTTTTTTTATTTTAATACACAAGAACATTTATTAACGTTTTTTTTATTTTTTTTTGTAGGAACGAACTCTTCAGCTCAGCTCCTGAAGGTAAATGGAGTAAAAAGGGGGGTAGGGTGACATTTTTTTATTTTATTATATAAGAATATTTATTAACGTTCTTTTTTATTCTTTTTTGTAGGAACGAACTCTTCNGCTCAGCTCCTGAAGNTAAATGGGATAAAAAGGGAGGTAGGGTGACATTTTTTTTATTTTATTATACAAAAATATTCATTAACATTCTTTTTTATTAGGAACAAACTCTTTGGCTCAGCTCCTGAAGGTAAATGGAGTAAAAGGGCGTAGAGGGGTATTTTTTTTATTTATTATATAAGAACGTTTAATAAGCTTCTTTTTATTAATTTTTGTAGGAACGAACTCTTCAGCTCAGCTCCTGGAGGTAATTAAAGGGGAGGGGTATTAAATTTTAATACAAGAATATTGCTAATGTTCTTTTTTTTTGTAGGAACGAACTCTTTGGCTCAGTTCCTAGAAGTAATTGAAGGGGAGGGATATTAAATTTTAATACAAGAACATTGCTAATGTTCTTTTTTTTTCTTTTTTTTGTAGGAACGAACTCTTTAGCTTAGCTCCTGGAGGTAATTGAAAAGGAGGGGTATTAAATTTTAATATAAGAACGTTGCTAATATTCTTTTTTTTTCTTTTTTGTAAGAATGAACTCTTTGGCTCAGCTCCTAGAGGTAAATGAGGTAAAAGGAGGATAGGGAAGTATTTTTTTATTAAAATTCAATACAAGAACGTTACTAACATTTTTTTTTCTTTTTGTAGGAGTGACTCTTCACCCACCTTTAATTACAATATGTAAAGTTTTATAAAAAATCTGGTAAATCTGGTGAATCTGGTGATATAAATAGATCATCAGATTGACTGAATATCTGTTAAACCATCCGGTCAATCCAGTGGTACAAATGAATCAATCTGAATCTGGTCAATTTTTGGATGGATAACTTGAGCCGAAGTGTTCGTTCCTATAAAAAAGAAAAAAAAGAACGTTAGTAACGTTCTTGTATTAAAGTTTAATAACCACTCCCCCTTCAATTACCTTCAGGAGCTGAGCTGAAGAGTTCATTCCTATAAAAAGAAAAAAAAAAGAATGTTAGCAACATTCTTGTATTAAAGTTTAATACCCTCCTCAATTATCTTCAGGAGTCGAGCTGAAGAGTTCGTTTCTATAAAAAAGAATAAAAAAGAACATTAGCAACGTTCTTGTATTAAAGTTTAATAATCACCTCCCTTCAATTACCTCCAGGAGTTGAGCTGAAGTGTTTGTTCCTATAAAAAAGAAAAAAAAATGTTAGCAATATTCTAGTATTAAAGTTTAATAATTACCCTCCTTCAATTACCTTCAGGAGCTGAGCCAAAGAGTTCGTTCCTATAAAAAAAAATAAAAAAGAACATTAATAAACATTCTTATATATTAAAATAAAGAAAATATCAAAAACAAAAAAAATAAAAAAAAATACTGGATTTGACCAGATTATCTGATCAATCCGGTCAATCTAGTCATTCATGTAACATCTAATCAATCTGGTGTTATCTAACAGATCCATCAGAATTATCTGAAATTTGTTCATTTCTTAATCTGGATTATCCAATCCATTCAAAAACAGATGATAGATTGAACGAATTTCACCAGAGCATACCTCTAAGTGATATGGGGGATGACAAATTGGAGGCGATAAATAATGATGTCATGCCCCTATGAAATATACATTTTTTTTTATTTATATTGTATTTATAATTTATTATTTTATAGGTATTTGAAATTTATAATAAATAATATGCATCACAACAATCTGAAATAATCAGTATTGATTATAATTTGTCAAATAAGAATTTTGTTTTCCATATTTTTAAATGTCAAAGAGTTAAAACAGTGAGTAAATTAGATCATTTTCTTAAAATTAATCATCTTTATGATATTTTAAATTAGTGAAAAGTAAGTTTTATACTTTTATTTAATAAATTTATATTTATTTTTTTTTTAAAATGAGATGAATCATAATTACTTTATTAACATAAATTAATACACATAGGTGGTAAACAATAAAGAAATTTGGCTCATGAATATAAACTCCATAATAACATGAAAAATCATTACTTATCACATTTACGTAATATGAGTTCTTAGAATGGGAACTGAAACAAGACCCTCTTTAAATAGTTAATATACTCTAGATCTCTTCCATACTCCAGTACTAGTACCAAAAATAAAACCTTCCAATCAGTCCTTTCAAATCTCTCTCAAGATGAATATCCTTTGTCCAGTTCATCTGAATCTCCTCTCAATATAATGAGTCTTCAAACTAGCATGAAACATTAATAAGTTTCTAAAGATCAGATGTTAGTACTAATCTTCAGGACAAAGGATACTGATTACATTTAAAACAAATTTTTAAACTACAGTCAGACCTCTATATAGTCACCTCCTATATAGTTACAACTCTTTATAAGCATCTGATTTTGAAAAACAGTTTTAAATCATATTAAATTACTCCTATATAATTAGGGATGGGAGTAACTTGTTCAGCTCAATTTCAGCTCACTATCAGCTCCACTTTTACTTTCATTAAAAAAAATGTAAGCTATATGCGTCAAATTAAAGACACAGGTAGCTCATGTGATGATGATCAATTAAGAAAATTTTGATTAGTCATTAAATAATAGTTAGTCCATGATCGTCATAATTTTGACATCGATCCTATTTCAAACTGACTTTTGAAGTAGTTTAGTTCAAGTTTAATGAAATAATTTTTAGTCTATAAATTTTCTTTTTTTTTATTTATTTTGAAAGAATAAGTGCTTCTTTTAATTTTAATAGATTTTTAGCTTATATTAATTTAAAATCTGCCAAATATAAAAATTTTTCAAAATCACGTAATTTGAGCTGACCCATTTCTATATATAATTACAAATCAATTATAATCACTATCACCTCATAATCTTAAACGTACATATTATTTTTATTAATAAATAAACCTCTACATAATCACCGTAATTTTAGTCATAAAATAATTTCAGCCAGAATTACCACATCACATGATTATAATTTTCTTTTTAAGAATAAATATTACACATGCAAAAATTGGCAAAATTTTTTTATTAAACGGCTATCACCAAAAATGGAAATATCTGAATTATAATTTACTAATTTCAGCTGAAATTAAGAAATTTTTAATTTTAATACCTTTATATAAGCATACTTCTATACAATTACCAATTTTGAGAAAACTGATTAGATGACTATATAAAGGTCTGACTGTAATATGATTTATATAAGAAGAATTATAGATGTCAGCTATTAGTACTAACATTTAGAAGGAAAGGAACTATCTAAAATACTAAGATTAAAAAATACAAAAAAAAAGAAAAACCTATTACTAATCCCTATTCCTCTACTCCTATTAGAAACGATATATGAGTCACCCTAACAGATGTTTCAGATAAATCGAAAGATTGCTTATACTGTCTTGTCTGAAGGCCATCATTCCATATCTTGCCGACCTATTATTTAAACTCACGCTAAATAACTTTTTAGCCATTCCAGTAGGTATTTCCAAAAAAGGCTAATTTCTCACATCACTGCTAGACTTTCTTCTGTAAATCGAATCAACTACTTACTAAAGAGTGAATTCATACTTTTGTATCTTGACCATCTAGCTTGTTTCTATTGAAGAATCTTGATCTTTAATATACCTATTATAAAGATAATCGATCTTGTTTTCATATACTTAAACCAATTCTACCTATATAATATATCTTATACCATTTCCAATGTCTTCTAAACCTTTTATTCTTTTTTTTAAAAAAATTTTCTAATAACTAATCATGATATTATCTTAAGGAGTAAAAAAAAAAAGGATCACTACTGTAAAACTAAAACCAAGAAATATGTTAAAACAAGGAAACCAATCATCAATAGATGATCAGCTATTAATCAAAATTTTCAGTACTCTTACACCTTCTGCCAAAGGAACCGTTCTGATATGATGAAAAATTC